ATTCTCTGCTGCTTCTCATAGCCAGATTGTTGATCAGGAAATGCTTCAGATTGAGGAGGCTAAAATGCCATTTCTTGCCCCCATCCTGTAAGGGCAGAAGACTTGACTGACAAGGAAGTCACTGCTAGTGGTGGGATTACCCTTTGGCCTGGGCTGAGGCCCTGGCCCTCAGCCCTCCATGGCCCTCTGCTAGCACAGCTCTCACCTGTTCATTAATGCTCCTCTTTCCTGTTTCTCCCACCTGGACCCCACAGGCAGCAAAAGAAACTCTGGCTAAAGCAGTGTTGGCGGAGCTGCCTCAGCAAGTAGTGCAGTATTTCAAGCATAAAAACCTGCCCCCCACCAACTCCGAGCCTGCCTGAGCCCATGCCCAGCTGCAGCATGCCAGCTGAGCCCCCAGCCTCCCAGGAACATGCACGTTCACCCTGCTTCCTCGTGGGTGGCCCCCCTTTTTTTTAAACCAGTCCACATTTTTATTTTTTACAACTGGACCTCCACCCCCAACTTCCCCAGCCCAGCGGGACTCCCTTGGTCAGAGTCAACGGATGATGCTTCCAGGACAAACCGACTTCCTCTCCCCACCCTCCTGCCACTCTAAGTATTGAATGTACTTTGTATAAATTTAGTGGAATTATTGTTATTAAAGAGAATAAAATTTTTACAATCATATCTGGCTTTTTCTAAGTAACTAGCTGCAAGAAGGAATGTATCCCCACTGCATACTTTGTATGGTGGTCTGCTGTTTTTATACTGTGACTGTGTTCTATTTGTTAAACTCAGGGTAATAAAGGAGTTTCAGATGTTGCCTGTCAAGCTCCTTCCTTAGTGAGGGTCAATGGGCACTCACTGATCTGCAAATGAAAACCAATAGGACCCTCGTCCTCACTCCCATTCTTGAAGAGTTGGTGTCATCACTTCCTCATGGGGACACGCATTCCCTGTCACCAGTAGTGATTCCTGTGAAACTGACACAGGACACGGCATCCAGACAGCAGTTGCGGCCACCCACATCCTCTGGATGTAGTAGGCAATGTCTTTGGCTTCAGGACCCTAAACAAGGTTATGTTTCTTCCCGCTGTTCCTCTTAACACACACCTCCTCCTTGTTCCTTTCCTTGCACACCCATATTCTCTTGTGACATTCTAGGCCTTTTGACAAGCAGACGTGACTGTAACAGTGCACATTTCTACTTAGTACCATGTTTCCAGCTCCCTGTGCCAGCACTGTTCATGAACCTTCCACAGCCCTGCCATGATCTTGCAGTAATGGAAACACAGCAGGCCTACTAGGCAGGCAGAGTGCGGATGGAAGTGTGGTTACCATTGTGCACGCGTATCCTACTACCCCCAGCATCTCCCTTGGCACCTCCAAGGGGCTTTCCCACTCAAGCTGCTTATGACCTTACATTGTTCTGAGGACACTAAGCCTTCTCTGCCATCTCCTCCAGGCTGGTCCTTCATAGCTGCTAGAATTGGTCGGCACTAGGTCCTAATCTCAGGATCCACGGTGTATATGGTGGAAATGAGAAGCAAACTTCCGTGGCCACCAAATGCTTGCTTTTGTTTCTGAGACAGGCTCTCACTATGTAGCTCTGGCTGCCCTGGAACTCACCATGTAGCCCAGGTTGGCCTTGAACTCACGAAGATCATCCAGTTTCTATCTTCTGGTAGCTAGGACTAAAGATGTATGCTACCAAACCCAGCTATTGACTGACTTAGCCAACAAGGGAATCTAGTAGATACAGTTTCTAGGTAGGTGACTGCGGACTGTTGGAGTCAGTCTCATCACACACACACACACACACACACGCACACACACACGCACACACACACGCACACACACACACAATCGAGAGAGAAAGCCAGCCTTGAGGCATAAATAAAAAAATCTGGTTCTGTCATATAGCAGGGCAACCCAGGCAAGTCACTGGGCCTCTGGAAATGTGGGGCTCCTCTATAGAATGTATAGAAGGGCTGGCTTGAGAGTGCTTTTACAGAATGAAAAACAATTCCACTAAAACAATGCAGCATGTCCCCCGACTGCTTGGCCTGTACAGAGCAGGCCTCAGTGGTGTCACAGAAACAAAAGTAGCCTGTCTCCCATGGGGCCTTTTTGTGTCTCTTCTGCTGCTGGGGCCAGGTTTGTTAATGCTATTCCAACTCCCTCTGAAGACATTCCTCTAGCAGGTAGAGGAACAATGCCATCCCATGACAGAGTCATTAAGGCGTGACTGTACAACTTGTGACTACAAAAGTGTTGACAAGATTCCAGTCGAGCGTCATGCACCAAGAACTCACATCCTATTCTAGAATGTATAACTAGGCTGGGCATGCAGGATGCCAAGCCACCCAAGTCACTGTTCACTATCACTGAGCTTTCCTTCCTTTTCCTAGAGGGGCCTAAAGATGACAGCTGAGTCACATAATCACAGCAAGGACATTTGAGCCAAAGAATCTGGTGTGCCTAAGCAATTAACATTTAGCTAACTGGAGCTACGGCAGAAGCTGGAGGAGCTGACAACCAGATTTGACCCTTCCAGCATGTCAGTGTTCTAGTTACAAGCGGGGAATGCCAGCGCCATACAAACCTGTGTGCAGTACGTTAATAACACACTCTGGATACCCTACCCAGACATGGGCGCCTTCTAATTTATGTATGACCATAGGAGGTTGGTATTATTCCTGTTTCCTAGGTGAAGGCCCTTGTCTGTCTATAATGAGATCACTATGGCATATCTATCGAGGGTGGAAAGATGGCGTTCTCAAGGGGCTGGTCCAGGCAAACCAAGCTTTTCCCTTAAGTGAGGAGCTGGCCAAAAGGGAAGAATTCAGGGGCTGGGAAGAAAAAAACAAAAACAAAAGGGGGGCTCTGATAAGGCACCTTACTGAGTAGTGGGTGCTCGTGCATGTGTGAGTGTCTTCAGTCTGAGGAACTTTCTGCTGGGACCTGGGACCCCTGGAAGCTGTTCAAGGCAGGAAGTCAGCCACCTGTCAAGGTCCAGTCATATCAGCCTTCCAGCTTTTTATAGAAATAGGTGACTTGAATTTCAAGTCCCTTTCCTCCCCACCCATGAGAGCAATAGCTTCAGGTAGACAAATGTCAGAGAGAGACAGGGAGGGCATGGGTAATACAACTCAGACAGTTCATTGTCTCCCAGGTAGAGCTGGCAACAGATTGTTGCTGGCTTTCCCCAAGAGGTCTTAGAATCCTAAGAATTCTGCCACCCGAGATAATGTACATGGCTCAAAGAAACAAACCCCAATCATCTGTTTTACTTTCTTACCCACTATAAAGTCCCAGTAATGCAGGCAGGAGTACACCTGGTGGGACTGTCCATAGACCCCCCACCAGAGCTCAACATCTGCAGATGCTCAAGTGCTGTCTGTTAAATACTGTTTGCACAGAACCTACTCATGCCTATACTCATACCCTACTTTCCTAGCTTACTTGATTTACATCAGTTTACGATGCCTGAACCGTGATATGCTAGGAGTTGTTACACTCAATTATTTATAGGGAATAAGAAAAGTCTATACATGGTCAGAGGGAATCTTTAAGTATTTTTGGTCCCTCATTAATCTGACCCCCAGGAGAGACCTGCCAAGGTACATGAATGACTGTGTTCTGGGGGTTTCCTTCTACCTCTGCTCATTCTGTTCTTCTGTGGGAGGAACCACAGGTCTGCCCTGATTTGCCACAGAAGTGGTGTTTCAGTTATAGGCCTCTACACCATTTAGGCACAGTGAACTATAGTACAAAGGCCACCAGAAACACCAAAAGCAGTCATCACAGTCCCATGTAGTGGCACTCACCAGTGATCCCAGCACTCAGGAAGCTGAAATGAAAGGATGGTAAGTTGGTAAGCCAGCTTGGGCTACACAGCAGACTGTCAAAAAGAAAAGAACCCTGGGTCTGAAGACTGCTTAACGCAATCAGCTTCAAGTGACGGGAGAGCCGGAAGCCGATGTGGTACAGAGCAAGAGCTCACTTGACAGGGCTCAAAATTGAAGTTAACAGACAGTTTTAAACCCTGCAACCTTGCCATCATCTTTTCAACATCAACGGAGACCAGGAAACACACTGGTTGGTCTGAAAAGTCAAGCTATGTGACGCTGATGACTCTGATGTCTTGGTCTGCCTCCTGAAATGGCTCAGGGTTGCTCTGGATACAGGAACGTGCTGTGGGAATGACAGCACAGTCATAGGAACAATGACACAAAGAGGCAGAAAGGTGCTTGCAGCTTTACCTAAATGTCTTGTTTGTCAGGAGGGAGCTGACAGGCCTGCACTGACAGTCAGGAAAGATTAGTGCTGGGAGGTTCTGCAAAGGATGGCAGCGCTCACAGGCATCAGAGATGGGCGAAGGAAAACCACCATCTGCTGGTAGGCACCAGTGTCAATACACTGGAAGGGGAAAGGAAGGGCTGGATGGGATCCAGGGCCCTCTCTGCCCACGTTAACTGAGGAGCTTCCTCTGCCTGCCAGTATGTTAGTGCCAACACATTCAGTGTCTCGCTCGTCTCACACCCATAGGAAGGGAAAAAACAATGGATGCTGGAAACAGCGAGAAGAGAACCTCTCAGGCTCATTCTGAAGCAGGGCACACAGACCTACCTCCCAACCCCAAGTCCTGCATACCTGTTCCCTCCCTCCTCCCTCCTCTGAGACAGAAACAGGTAAGAGCTTGCTGCTGTTGGCTGTTCATGGCCCGGGAACTGTTGTATGCCTGTTGTTAGGGGGGTGGGAAGGCACACTGGATAAAGAAGAAGTACTGAGCAGCACCTTAGACTGGCTGGAAATAGCTTCACAGTCAAAAGCTACAACTGTATGTGCAAACAGCAGCACCTTGGTGGAGGAGCGCACAGCCGTAACATGTAGGCATGTCCCACTAGTTTGCAGTCTAAGGCTTCCAGAAACTGCTAGGCATTAGTCATCTCTTTAACACAGCTATCAGCAGTTATAGTTTCTGGCTATGATTCAGTAAGTTTGCTTCTCTAACATTCAGAATCTTAAACTAAATCTTTTATTTCAAAAACAAATCAAAACAATTTTTCAGGGAGAGAAGGTGGGCAGAAGACGGACATGTCCTCATTATAGCTCCTTCCACCCTGCAGGCTGGATGGAGAGAGAACATGGAAGAGTGTCACCTCAAGGGCTGTAGTTGGCTCATAGCCTCGTGGGTGTGGCTTGCAATCTTTACTTAAACCACACAACATCCAGGAAGGGTTAGTTCTAGGGGACAGCTCCATGTCACCGGCTAATCAGCCCCTTTCTCTATGCCCACACACAACATGGTAGAACCAAGCAACCCATTCATCTACAACAGAATATGAAGTTAATGCTGCCCTTGCTTCCTGTGCTGCTAAGTGAGGAGAGAAACAAGACAGCAACAAGGGACACCGAACCCTTGCAAGCCATCTGGTGCCTGTCCTTGCCCTGTCAGTGACATTTCTGAGATTAGCCTGAACCCTGACTCCTCATATCAACAGGATAGGTTTGGTCATCTGCACTGCAGTATAGAGAAATCAAGCTGAGTTTGAGCCACAAGTGGACCGTGACACATTTCTGAGTTAAGTTAAAATGTCACATGTGCACAGGAAGCAGGTAAGTAAGTTTTTTGAGGGAGGTGACGCCAAGGCAGAACTGGCATCTAACCCTCTGAGGAGATGCTCCCTGTGGTAATGTCAGGAGCTAGGGTGCCTCAAGGAAGGTGTTGGTTCGGAAGATGGAGGAGACAATCTTCCCCGTAGCATTGATAGTGCCTTCGCTGTCTGAACTGGATTCGGAGTCACTGCTCCCAGAGTAGGCACCCAAGCCGGGAAGGATGCCGATGCATACAGCAGCAGACGGGCAGTGGATGGAGGGAGGTCCACTCAGAGAAGAGCTTCCAAGAGACATGCAGGATGGGGCCTCTGCAAAAGGAGGACAGGAAGTTAGCCATCACCCTTCCTAATCCTGAAGGGTCATCCTCAGCCTGAACACATTGGAGCTTTCTACAAAAAAGCCCCAGTGCTGCAGTACAACTCTATGCCATCTTGGGAGACTCTGGACATCTTTGTGTCACAGTCAAAGCTGACAGAGAATACACAGTTGGGACTTGAAAGACTGCCCACACTCTCTTGCCACCCACTAGTTCTGAGATGGGGAACAAATCTTGTAGTCACCTATCATAGTTTGATTCCTTCACAAGTCATGGTATTACAGCAAGTGGGACTCAGATCTGATATCTTCCTTAGCTACTCTTGTGGCCCTCAACAGGAGGCTAGATTAAGAGACCACCTGTGAACAATACTAACAATTCTGTGATGGCACACATAAGAAACCAGTAACCAACTAGCAGACATTGGCCATGCAGCTAAGCTCTTTATTAAGGCAATTTTCTCACCACTTGGAGAGGAGCACCTCAGAAACTGATTTCACTGCTTTTACTTTTTATTTATTTTATGCTGAGAGCCCTTGAAGGAAACATTTTACAACAATGGCACCGAGTATCTGGGCTCTTTTCTTCCCAGGCTATGCAGTGACTCTGCAACTCCAAAGACAAAGGCCTTCATCGACAACACGCAGAATGACAACAGACTACAAGCACATACTGTGCTCTTGAAGAGGATCTGAGTTCAGTTCCCAGCACTATGTCAGCTAGATCACAACCTGTAATTACCTTTAACTCCTGCTTAGAGGGCCTGGAAGCCTTCTGATGGCCTTCATGGCACTGCATTCATGCACACACACACCCCCACACACATAGATACATAAATACATAATTAAGAACCAAAATGTTTTAAAAAGTCAAACCTAAACTGAGAATGGCACTCCATTCTTTCTTCCCTCTGAATGTTTCCAGCCTCATTTAATCACTGTAACAACTTGTCTGTGGGTGTTCTCTCTGCTTACTGATGAGAGGAGTCAAGTAAGTTGTAAGAATACAGGCTAGAGTATAAAACACTAAACTAAATCTGCACCAGAAGATGTTGTACTAAAGTGATGCCAAAGGTCAGAGTTCATAAGTCACTGTCTGGGCCCGACAAGGACGTTCCTCTTTGGGGATTACCTTCTAGGAATCAAATCCCCACTTGTGCAGATACCTCAAGAGAATACAGAAGGGACACTGAATCCAGAGCTATACTGAGGAGCTAAGGTCATCAGTTTTCTCGGACACAGATTCAGCTAAGGGTGTCTGCTTCTCTCTAGCAGGGAAGGGAGAAACTGTTGGAGGGAAGTGTGCTCCGAATCTCAAAAGGAAAAATGAGCAGCAGCATCTGGGAGTCAGCAGTCAGTGCTAAGAGGCAGTGGTGAAGAACGTTCGCAACAATTATCACAACACTAACAACTTTTAAGATGTGAAGAGCTCTTCTAATCTGTTTTTTAAAAAGCTGTGAAATGATTCTGTGGTAGGCACTTGCCTAGCCAGTTAGGGCTCTGGGTTTAAATTAATCCCCTACACTGAGGGAGGGAGGGAGGGAGGGAGGGAGGGAGGGAGGGAGGGAGGGAGGGAAGGAAGGAAGGAAGGAAGGAAGGAAGGAAGGAAGGAAGGAAGGATCGATCAACCAAAAACCACGAAGAGCAGGGTATGGCAGTGCACAGCTCTAATCCCAACACTTGGGAGGCAAGGACAGGAAGATCTGCAAGTTCAACACTAGCCAGGGCTACAAAAGAGAGAGTCTGTAGTGGTGGTGGTAGGCACCCTGAGATGTAGATCAGTTATACTGGAGTTTTTTTTGTCTAGTACGGTATGAAGTCCTGAGTTTGATTCTCAGCACTGCAAAAACTTGGCATGGTAATTGTGCTTCATAGTATTATGTCAACTTGACACAAGCTAGAGTTATTTTGAAAGAAACCTTAACTGAGAAAATGCCTTCCTCCATAAGATCTAGCTGTAGAAGCCAGGCAGTGGTGGCACATACCTTTAATTTCAGCACTTGGGAGGCAGAAGCAGGCAGATTTCTGAGTTCGAAGCCAGCCTGGTCTACAGAGTGAGTTCCAGGACAGCCAGGGCTACACAGAGAAACCCTGTCTCAAAAAACAAACAAAAAACCAACCAACCAACAACAACAAAAATCTAGCTGTAGAGCATTTTCTTAGCGATTGGGCCCAGCCCATTGTGAGTGGTCCCACCTCTGAGCTGGTGGTCGTGGGTTCTATAAGAAAGCAGGCTGAGCAAGCCAGTAGCATCACCCCTCAATGGCTCCTATATCAGCTCCTGCCCCCAGGTTCCTGCTCTGCTTGAGTTCCTGCCCTCAGTGCTTTTGATGATGACTATTATATGGAAGATTAAGCCAAATAAACCCTTTCCTCTCCATTTGCTTTTTGTTATGGTATTTCATCATAGCATGCCTATAATCCCAGCACGTGAAAAATAGAGGCAGGAAGATTAGAAGCTGAAAGTTATCCTTGGCTACATAGTGAATTTGAGGCTAGCTTAGCCTATATAAGACCTCGTCTTTTTTAAAATAAGAGACACAGATGACAGGAGCAGTTGGCAAACAATAAAACAGGAGTTCTAAACACAGGAACAGAAACAATGTATTAGGAAGGAGTGAGTGAGGAACTCTCAAGGAAATATAGCAATGTCCTCCAAACTTAGCCAACTGTTGCAGACCATGGTCCTCGGAGCAAAATCTCCACCACCTTCATCAGATAAGCTGTGGCTGCTTGCAGGAGACCATCCCAATCAGGCCTGCTGACTGCTTACTTCCCTCAGAGCAGGCAAAGGTGGGAGGGTCATCGGACCTCTCTTCCTAAAGGTAAAGGGTTCTTTTCAGACCCAGAGCACTATGCCAAGGCTTTCCCTGAAGAAGCCCCAGGGTAACAAACCAATCCAAATACTCACAGAAAGACTGTGTTCATCCTTGTGTTACACAAGGAAAGTCCAGCCATTCTTCCCAGCCATATATAATTCCGCCCTAATTGTGCCGGGGTAGTGCTGGGGTATTTTGGAAGGTCCTAAAGGCTAACTGAGGGTAGCTCTATCTATGCAGGTAAGGGAAGCAAGTCATCACCCATGCTGGGTGAACACCCCCAGTCTTCCTGCAGTAACCTCTCAACCATGATCTGTACGTATGTTCAATAAACACACTGGTTCTTCAGGGTAAATTCTGGGAGAATCGGACTTTGGTTTGTTGTTGAGGCCTTCTAAGAAAGGGGCAAATGTTTACATTCTTGCAGGAAGGACTTCTCACAGTATCAGTGGTGTTCCTGAGATCTGTGCAGGAGCAAAATGAGCTGTCTACAGAAGCTGTGCTCGTGACTGTCAGTTTGGCACAAACCAAGTCACTTGAGGACAAACTTTTTGCCCTCATCAGACTGACCTTCGGGCCTATCTGTGGAGCATTTTCTTAACTACTGATAGATGTAGGAGGGCCCAGCCCACTGTAGTCACTGCCACCCTTGGGCAGGTGGTCCTGAGTTCTCTAAGATACAAGCATAGCAAGCCATGGCCAGCAAGCCAGTAAGCAGAACTCTTCCATGGCTGCTACTGAGTTCCTGCCCTGACTTCCTATAGCAATGGACTTAGAACTGGAAGTGTAAGATAAACCTTGTCCTCATCCAAGTTGGTTTGGTTGGGAGTTTGTTATAGCAACAGAGAAGCAAACTAGGACAGTAGGCAAGAGGCAAAGAATGAAGAATGTTGGGCTTTACTCTTTGTAGCTGGGGCTATAACTCAAGTGTATTCAACGTAGAGTGCTACCCTAGTATACACACAGCTCTGGGTTCCATCATCAGGACTATGGGGGACAAAGGAAGGAAACAATAATGAGTCCCTGTCCTCACTGGAAATGAATGGTCTCTAAGACATGCTCAATGAAAAAGGTGAGAAGCAGGACAACAAATGTAATTTGGGGAGAATCAGGAACATGCTCAGGCACATATATCACAAAGCCTGAAAAAACAAAAGCAAAACCACAAAAAACTGGTAGCAGTATATGGTCTGGGAAGAAACTGATGATTAGTAAGCAGGGGAGACTTGCTTTTTTATTGTAATCTTTTCATCCCCTTTCTAAATAATTATATACATATATTTCTGACTCAGAATATTGTTTTTAAAAGGGCAAATGTAAAAATTCAAAGAGCATTCTGGCCATTTCAATCGAGCAGAATCGTCCCAGCCATCTTTCTCACCCCCACAGTATCCTTCCAATAAAGGAAGAGTGCAGCAGAAGCCTCAACACTTGGTGAAGGAACAGGGTGCCCACTCCACATAGAACTCTTGAGAAGTGACCCCCAACCACCACCATGGGACACACTGGGTATGGCATAAAGTAGGCCAGAATTTATGATAGGAGTTATTGGCATTCTACAGTTTCCTTGTAAACAGCTAATTTGAGGGAGGGTGGGTGATGGTAAAAATCTGATGGTTTTAATATTTGAGACATGACAAGAAGTTATTTCATTCCTTGAGTGTTTGTTGTGTTAATACGCACCCCACAGAATGCTTTCAGAAGCAGAAAATAAAAGACTCAAGTTCAGAGTGCTAGGAGGGCTGTAGTTAGCCTATGGGAGGACAGCACTGAGTACAGAGCTGCCACAGGAACCGGGGCCATTGTGACCCTGAATCACTTAAGTGAAACAAGCAGACCCTCCAATTATCTAGGAAGTTTCAAGAGAGAAAAGACTGCAACTCTGACAAATTTCATTCCAAAAGCAGTTACGGCCCAGAGAACAAAGCGGTGCCCTCTGAGCTCACCATTTGGGGGACATTTCCTGCCAACTCCTGCCTTTGCCGGACCACATTGTCATATCAAGTCAGCACAGAAAATCATGAATAGTGAAATGCTCTTGGAATGTAGGCAGATGGAGCGAGGACACAGGCCACCTTGTACATTTGCTGGCTCTGTTCAAGCTAATTCTCAGTGGAGGAGCTGAATTTCTGTCAGGGTTGAGGCTTCCTTCAGGAAGACCAAGGCAAAGCCTTCCCCTGCAGAGGACAAGACTGAAGCAAGCGTCAAGGATAGCCAGTCCCTTCTAGGGTCTCTCCTTCTACCAAAGGAAGGTGTTTCTTGCCTAGCTTGCACAGGACTGCAGGGACAGGAAGAAGGCATTTGGAATGACATATGAAACTGCTTCTATATGTGCACAATAGGTCTGGATGAACACCAGTGAAATATACAATGGTGTTTCTCTGTGGAAATCAAAGAGGGTGGAAGAGGGTGTGGGAAGATGCTCTTCACTGAAGATCTTTTTTAAAGATACAGCTACCATCCCAGCAAATGTAGAGAAATAATTTTAAAAGCATCCATTATTTGTTTGAGAAGAAATAAATGAAAGCCCTGTTTTATAGATGACCAACCGAGTTGAATTAGATCCTTAATCCCACAGGAGGAACTAAAAGCAAACTCTTGAATTGCTCACTCCAGCCCAAGAACACACCCCTTTACTTACAATTTCCTGCTACCTAATACAGTGGCAGATTTCACCACATGAGAAGTCACCACCTTCAAGGAAAATCAGACTCCTGAATTCCATTAGGCTCAGAGCAATCCAACCATCAGCAGGAACTGTGCACTCTGTCTGCCACAGGTGAAATCAAGAAACTTGACATTTGGCAAGACAGAGAAAAACCTTTTGTGAGCAGAGGTCATCTGACCAGGCCTTATAATCACTCTGGGGAGAACTCAATTGTTATATATCAATGCTACTAGTTTGTAACACGCCACTTTTGTCAGGCGGCTGACATATTCATGGTAGAAATTCCTGCTTAGTATTAAACAGTTTGGCATTAAGTTAAGGCAAGGTGATTTAAAGAGAAATAATACATCTCTTTATATAAGACACATTCTTCCTGCAGTTCTCGTCCATCATGGATAGAATGAAGGGGTCACACCCACCTTGAGCCTTGTCCTCTGGGTCAGGATCTGGTTTCAGTCTTTTCACACTATTGCCACTCTCTGAGCTGTAACAGAAAACACAGTGATTTGAGCTATGCTGAATCTTAGGGATCAAATCAGGGCACCAGAAGCATTTAGGAGAGTCTGGGGCAGTCTCAAGAAGCTGGGATGATTGAAATGAAAAGCCTTCTTTTCATTTCCTAACCTCTTCTCAAATATAAAGTCTGTTAGAAAGAGAACTTAACCTCCAAACAGACCCAAGGTCACAGATTGCACACTTTGCTTTTCTGTCTCCTTTATCATTCAACTGATGAGATTTCAATAGTATTTATATATTCCACAATGACAAAAATATAATTTAAGGAAATATTTTTGATGACATCCAAAGACATCCAAAAAATTTTCACTGAAACAATATCTCAAGAATACATTTCAAGCCGGGCAGTGGTGGCGCACACCTTTAATCCCAGCACTTGGGAGGCAGAGGCAGGCGGATTTCTGAGTTTGAGGCCAGCCTGGTCTACAGAGTGAGTTCCAGGACAGCCAGGACTACACAGAGAAACTCTGTCTCGAAAAACCAAAAAACAAACAAACAAACAAACAAACAAAAAAAAGGGGTGGTGGTGGTGGTGTTAGAACAATACATTTCAATGGAAAAAGACATACCAGAGGAAAAGATGAACAGACGGTGATGTAAGTCTAAACAGGTATCCGTTTACATATGGGCCAGCGCCTGACTTGTGGCATGAAACACAATAAGGTCCTGTGGCATTAAGTTAAGGGACTTTGAGGAGATTCTGTGTTGAGTCTGATTCTCTCTGCCTGTGAATCAGGATGTGGCTCTCAGCTACATATTGACTATGTCACGTAGTACATAGAAGAGAGCAAATGCAGCACAAGGTCTAAAGGTCCCTTTTGTGTGTGTGTGGGGGGGTGTTCGGGAGAGAGTGCCTACAGCTTCTCAATAGTAGGCAAATGCTTTAACACTGAACTGCAGCCCTGGCCCAAGGTTGTCTGTTTACATAATTTTTAAGGAGTTAAAATAGCTATTTAGTTTTGCTGAGTAAGCCTGCCTGTTAAATTTCAAGACCTATCACTAAAAGATTAGAAACAAAGTATATATAATGGAAAGAAAAAGTATTTTAAAGTCATTTTCACTTTTTTCTCAAAAGCAAGAAGTAAAAAGATATTTTTTAAAAGTAAAAGGGATGCTGAGGATGTAGTTCAGTTGTTAAGACTATGGCTGACACCTGGGGAAAGTTGTGGGTTCAATTCCCCAAAATAGCATAAACCAGGCATGAGGACACACCCTGCAATCCTAGTACTCAGGTGGAGCAGGAGGATCAGAAGTCTAAGAGCATCTCTGGCTGTACAGTGAGTCTGAGACCAGACTAGAATACATACACCCTGCTCTATAAATAAATAAGTAAATAAACAAAGAGTAAAAATAAAAAGACAGCATTAAGATGGTAGAAATTATACTTAAAAAACTAAATATAGACCACACAAACTAGTTAAAATTAGATTAAGTAAATACAGTTTAAAGAAGTCATTTAAAGGTATTTACTTAAAAACTTAAAAACAAACCCCTCAAAACGTAATACCCAGAAAGACCGTAAGTGGCAGCATGGATACAAAGAGGATCATGCCAGCTGGGTGTAGCAGTGCACGCCTTTAATCCCAGCACTTGGGAGGCGGAGGCAGGTATCAAGAGCAGTGTGGTCTACATTGCAAGATCCAGGCCAGCCAGAGCTACACAATGAGATTCCATCTTTAAAATAAAAATCATGATATACAAACCACAATACCACAACACAATAAGTTAGGATTAGTAAGGAAAATCTAAGTACTGTATTTCATAGCTTCTAAGATACTAGGATTATAAGGTGTTAGTAATGTGTGTATGTTGGGGGGGTATTTTAGAACCAAGTGGAGCATGGACAAGTTATTTCAATGTTGAAAACTTAAAATATATTTCAATATTATTCTTGAGGTGAAGAAGAAATCACAATGGTAATTCTAAATGCATGGTAGGAAATTTAAAACTGTACTCAATGAGAGCTGAAAGAAGTAAACAGCACTGAGTGGCTCTAACTGAAAACACGAAAAATGAATGAGCATGGGGATCCCACAGGAATCTGTAACAATAAAACAAGAATAAACTTGAAAAAGATATCAAGTAGGTTATTTTGTCTTGATGCTTTATACACACCCTGGGAGATTCCAGATTTCCACAGGGAATCTGTCCATGCAACTTTAACAATGAGGACTCGCACACTTTATATTTACTAAAAACCAGGACTGGTGTGAAGCCTAGGAGTCCACATTATTGACAAACTCTCTTCTTATTTTAATAAACCAAGGCAGGGAAGCTCACTCCTGCCCCAAGAGGACCTTGCTTCGAAAGCAACATTAAGTGACATATTTTGAAAACCCAAGAGAGACTCTACACAGATCACCAAATAAGCTTAACAGAACCTTTCCTAAATATGATATAAAGACTAATCAAGGGAGACAGTTGAAATACCCATTTGGCAATGCAAGGGTACCTAAGAGGTAACTGCTCACCTGGAGAGCTCATCGAACTGGCCCAGGTCTGATTCCTGACCCAGTGGACTTTGGGAGGCTTACATGGGGCGTTTAAAGACTCACGGTTTGTTAAGGCTCCTTCTCAGACCACAATCGTCCCCTTGCTGCTGCTGTACCACAATGACATTTTCCATGTGCTCAGTGTTCCTAGGAACATCTGCAGCAGATAGAGGATGTGCCAAACCACAAGGCTGCATCAATACACTCTATTCAAAACATGTGGCTGGCTGCCAATACACCATATTGATTTTCCTAATAGACTGCACTTTACATCATTTCGCCCACGGTCTGGTTGGTCAAGCTGATTCAATCACTTTGGTGCCATTTCAGGAATTGAAAAGGGAAGAGCAAACACGACAAAGAACTTATCGAAATCTCCAGCAGTGCTACCCTCCACATCAGTCAGAGTGAGCGACAGCCAGGTCTCTAACCTCCCACAGCTGCCATATTCTCTCAAGGCCTCTGTAGCAGCTGTTCTCTGGGCTGTCCTCTCCCTTCCTGTCCATCAGAGCCCTGGTGCCCTATGCTGTCAGCATCTCTCTAAGCCCTTCTCTAACTTCCGGGAAGCAGCTTTCCAGCTGTCCTTCTCCATGCTGTTACCCTCACCAATAACAATCGGAGGCATTTGCTGCCTCGTTTGTCTAGAGATACAAAAGCTCAACACTGAACTCTTGCTTTATTACTGTACACAGTGGACAAAAGTTCTTCATCTCTCCAGCTGTCTTTCCATCTGTAAAACGGATCATAATAAACAATACTCTCTGGACCTGGTGAGAGCAATGTGTGAGAGCAGGAGAGGAAGTCTAACCTCCAGCAGGTGCTCAGTGAAAAGGAGCGGTACGTCAGCTGAATGAGTGATCCAATCAGGCTAGAATCAAAGGCTACCGGGACACTAAATCTGACAGCGGAGAAAGACAAGCACACTGGAGCATTGTTACAGCAACATGCTGAATATCCATTTGCTGTGGGCACCACTGCAAGTGGCATTTCAGACTATGTGGCCAGAGGGAGATTCTCAGCATGTGCACACACTCGCTGACCTCTTATGCTTCACAGCTCCTGCCAACAGCTTTGCCTGCGAGAACTTGTTCTTGGTTTCTATGGGTTTCACAGTCATCTTCTTCTCCACTTCCTTATTTTCTGTAGAAATTCCAACCTTGTTGAGATTACTGTGAGTTACAGGTTAAGGGTCAGATTAACCAAACAGAAGAAATGCTACAGAGCAAAAGTAAATCCAGAGGACAACAAATGAAATCCATAGGCCCATGGTGGAACTTAAACATGAGACCTTCCTGACTTGGCCTCCCAAGTGGTTGGGATATAGACCTAAAGCACCAGATCCTGTGTGTATGTGCACATGGGTATGTGAATGAAGGCACGTGTGTATCACTGTGTGCATGTGTGAAGGTCAAGTTTTAGTAATTTCCTACCTCAAACTTATGAATGTGCCCAGCCCTGCTTATGCTTTTGAAAATGGCATTTGGGCTGCTGTGTTATGTCTGTAGGATTCTTCATTTACAGTCTTCTTACTGGAATACTCTGATGTGCTGCACCAGCAGGACAAGCTGGTTCTTATGCTTCTCATCCAAATGTCACTGACAGTAATGAAGACATTCTGCAAAACCTGATTTCACCTTTGGAAGGTGAGACTTACTTCTAAGGAAGTCATATATAACTTCTCAATTTCCTTTATATTTCTTAAGATCTGTATTATCTGACAGCCAAGATGGTTTAGGGAGTAAAGGCACTTGCCACAATGCTGGAGTTCAATCCCCAGAACACATATAGTAGAAGGGGCAACAGATTCCTATAGTTGTCCTCTAACTTTCCACATGCACGCACAAACACAGAGAGAGAGAGAGAGAGAGAGAGAGGGGGGGTGGGGGTGCAGGGGGAGGGGGAGGGGGAGGGGGAGGGAGAGGGAGAGGGAGAGAGGGAGAGGGAGAGGGAGAGAGAGAGAGAGAGAGAGGGAGAGAGGGAGGGAGGGAGAGAGAGAGAGACAGAGAGAAAGACAGAGACAAGGGCAGAAACAGGTTTGACCTGTTGGTGCAGGCCTATATTCCAGCTACTTGAGAGGGGTAAGCTCTACTCTGGGTTATAGAGTGGTCAAGCCAGCCTGGTAAAGTTAAAAGAGCCTGTCTCACAATAAAAAGTAGAAAAAAGGCTAGGCTACAGCTCAGTGGTAGAGGCTGCCTAGCATACTTAAGGTCTGAGGCTCACTCCTCAGGATCACAAAAGGCAGAAAAGCCCTAAGCAGGGCACTTGTCACATCACGGTCATCATCAGCTCACAAGGCTGTCATTCCTGCTGCTCTCTCCTCTAGGATATGTTCCTTCCATTTTAGGCTCTTCCTCACCACTTACTAAGCAGGTAAATATCTGACAGGGTGTAAGCTGTTAGGATGCAGCCATACCTTACTGGACAACAGTGACATCTAGTGCCCAAGAAATCCAAGAAGCAGCTTTTGAAAGATGGAGACACAGGGATCACCTATCACACACACTAGGCTAGGTGGCAAATGTCTTTACCCACGGAGCCACCTTGCCAGCCCTCAATCTTCATTTTCTTAAAATTACATTTAACCACACGCACAAGGAGATGGGATGCATGTTTTCCAGCAAGTGTACAGAGGTGAAAAGACAACTTGCAGGAGTCAGTTCTCTAGTTCTACCATATGGGTGCAAGGGATCAAATTTAGGTTATCAGGGTTTAATTGCTGGGCCATCTTGTCAGAAACATTCCTTTCTATTGGGGCTTGGGGGTGGGGGGAGGGGAAGCTGAAACAAGAGACTTAAATTTTCCTAGTTGGGCTGGTGAGATGGCTCAGTGGTTAAGAGCACTGACTGTACTTCCAGAGGTCACGAGTTCAAATCCCACCAACCACATGGTGGCTAACAACCATCTGCAATGATATCTGATGCCCTCTTGTGGGGTGTCTGAAGACAGCTACAGTGTACTTACATATAATAAATAAATAAATAAAATAAAAATTAAAAAAAAAAAAAAAGGAAAAAAAAATTTTCCTAGTTAAAAAAAAAATGTCAAAGTCATTAGTACATTACAGTTTCTACCTATAACCTTGTCACTAAGGCACAGAGGGAAAAAAAAAAGAAGCAAAACAAAAACAAAAAACAAAAAAAACAGGAAGAAACAAAAGAAACCTGCTCAATATTAAATACTAAAATGTGAAAAAATGAGCATAGTAAAACATGCATTTATTTATAACAAGACACAGATTAAAAAAGAAAACACTTAACTTTTTTTTTAAAGTAGAGAAAATGGCACCTGCTGCAGGCCTAACAGCCTGAGCGGTCCAGGGCTCGAGTGCCAGAATGAGCCCACTTCCACAAGACACCCACTAACCCACCTCCACATGCAGGCTAGGCCTACTCCTCAACAAATACATGTTTTTAGTAAAAGAAATGTTCCAACCTTTGGCAGGGAGCAAGTATAGTATTTTTTTTTTTAAATTCACATCAAAACTGACTCTCTCTCTAAAACAAACACATCTCAAAAGTTTCAGACTTTATTAAGCAAAGCATTTTCTGGTTCTTTCATCCTTGTAACTGAAAACCGAAGGGCATTTTACAGTCACAGCACTATTTTCTAGAATGTTCCTCTGGTGGACACTTAATCTGCTCGTCTGCCAAACTAAAATAAAACAATTTATGTAAAAAGTGCAGAAAGGCCTGCCTATCTCCACAGCTGTGTCAGCTCACACTGTTATTCTGCTGTCCTCGGGGCAGAGGCAGAAGTTCAGAAGAGGCAGTCTTAACGTTTACAGATGAAACTGAGGGGTAACTTTGTGTCATCTCTCAGCCTCAGCATACATTCAGACCAAGGCTGGCAGCCACTACCTATGCTCCCAGCGCTGACTGACATTATGTCCCTGAATATCTGCCTACATTGCTTCCCACACTACTGTTTAATGGGCCTACTGTATACACTCTGCAGGAAAATACTAGCTAGTACAAATAAAATCCTACCATCAAACCAGGCATAGTGGCAGATACCTTTAATCTAAGCTCTGGGGAGGCAGAGGCAGGTGGACCTCTGTCCCTGAGTCCAGCCTTGTCTACATAGTGAATTCCAAGCCAGCCAGGGATGCACACTGATTCTGTCCTATCATCAATTATCAATTCACTGATGAAGCATGTTTAAACAGAACAGTGGGTTTATTCAACTTATAAGCTTGAAATATTCAAATAGGCTTCCTTGTAGAGGGTAAAAGTTAGGATGGACTACCAATAGCTCCTGTGAGCTATATACTCATTTATTTATATATTTATTGAGAATGTACTATATCCCAAGCACTGGGAAAAAAATCAGTCATTCTGGTTGTTATAGAACTAATTTTATATTCTAGCAGTAAAGAGATAAAATGAGCCAAAGCAAACAAATGAAAATGTGCCCTATTTAAAACAAAATTATGGGGCTTGGGTAGCTCAGTAGTAGAGCATGTGCTTAGAATGTATAAATCCCCAGATAACACTCCAAGTAATACCATTTGGTGGTAAACAGGATGTAATGGTACAGCAATCAGAAGCTGCAACTATACAAAGTGCTTAAGGAAAGGAACACAGAGCCGAGCCCTAAGCTAGCCTTGGGAATCTGAGGGAAGAACATTTCGGGTTGAGGAAACCATGAATTTGAGGCCTTGTAATAGAATCCATTTGATGATGTGTGAGGAGCCTAAAGGCCGGAGGCTGGAGTAGAGTGAACATGAGAAAGAGTGGCTGCAGAACCCAGACGGTTTACCCGAAGCCATGCAGAGCCTGATTAAAGAATGCCGACTCGAGCCAGGCATGGTGGTGCACATCTTTAGTCCCAGCATTCAGGAAGGAGAGGCAGGTGGATCTCTGTGACTTCAAGGCTAGCCTGGTATACAAACTGAGCTCTAATCTAGTGAGAGCTATACGGTGAGATCCTGTCTCAAGGAGAGGTCTGCTTTAGACTAACTGCCACAGGAGGAAAAAAATCACTGGAGTGTTTCAAACAGTGAAGCGACATGATGCCATGTAACTTTTACAACTTCCTACTTCTGCCCAAAGAACAGACTGTTGGGGCAAAGAGAAATGGAAACTAATTAGTAGTAACCCTAGCCATACAGAAGAAAGTCCAGAGTGATGAGAAAGACAGCAAGATTTAGAGAGGTCTGGAAAACGCTTTGCAAGTACTTTTGGCTAAGGCAGAGTAGAGAAGACAGGAAGATGGGAAAAGACTAATGGAGGGAAGTGTGATTAGGCTCAATGTGGCACGGACTGACGACTTTTCATCAGCTAACTAAGACGTGGAGGAGCCCAGTGAGACACTCAAAGGCACATGGTATTCATTTGTAACTTTAGCACTCGAGAGGCAAGAGGATCACAGCTTTGAGGTCAACCTAGTCTATGCAGTGAGACCATCTCAGGAAAAGGGGAATAAAGTTATACAAGTAGATGTTTCCAGCAAGGCAATATTAAGTCAAGGTAAAATGACCTTCCTTGTTTGTTGAGCCCACTACAGGAATAGTTCTCAATGTATGGGAGGATTGTCTAATCTTGCTAAAAACAGAAGAGAAAACGCACTGTTTCTGAACATGCCTTTTTAGGTCTGGGAAGATGGCTCAATAAAGTAAAAGCACTGTCTGGGCTAGCATGAGGACCCAAGTTCCAATCCTGAGCATGTATGTAAAAACCAGTCATGGGGGAGACAGGCAGATCCTAGGAGTTTACTGGTTAGGTAGCTTAGCCAGCATAGCAGGGCTCAGGTTCATAGAGATCCTGTCCAAGGGCCTAAAGCAGTGAAAGAGAGAGCCACTGGATGAGACTATCTTTGACTTCAGTAAGCATGCACTGTGTGCAATACATATAAAAGATCAGAAACATTACCTTTTAAATCTCAGGAGATACTGTCTCCCCAATGAGACTGGCTACATTGCCCGTCTAATCCTACAAGGCAAGAATACCCCACTACTGACTGAGAGAATTTATGCCTGGTTAATCCTGGAAAATGTGCAATTCTGATTGCAATAGATACGCTCATGCAACCCACCCCACCCATCACAGCCAATCAATCCCTCAGAGTCACAGGACATCAGTGCTAACAAACTATAAGGACGAGGCAGAAGGCCGCTTTATATTCGTGAAGAAAATGAGTCATTTCTCTCCAAGCACAAAGGATATTCTGTACTCCTTCAGTTCCTCCAGTTCTTCTTCTCGTCGCTGCTTCTCTATCAGCTCCTGCTGTCGAGAAACCTCATCAAGGAAGTTGGTCTCATCTTCATCTAACCCTCTTACCATGTTTTCTGAGGAAATAAGTGAACAAGGAGCACTGAGACTGAGGGAGCACTAAGGAGACTAAGGGAGCACTAAGGAGACTGAGGGAGCACTAAGGAGACTGAAGGAGGAATAAGGAGAATGAGGGAGCACTGAGGAGACTGAGGGAGCAATAAGGAGACTGAGGGAGCACTGAGGAGACTGAGGGAGCACTGAGGAGACTGAGACAAACAAGTCTTTTTTGACTTTTCCCTCCCTACATGTTTATTCTGTGTATGGTGTGTGTACACATGCACCAGGGCACACACATGAAGGCTAAGGGACAGCTCTTGGGAATCGATTCTCTCCTTCCAACTGTGAGATATGGGGGTCAACTCAGGTTGTCAGCTTATACAACAAGCACTGGTACTCATGAGCTATACAGCTGGTCATTTTCCTTTTTAAACAAGCAGCCAATTCTTCAGGCAATTGCAAGAAAGAATTGTTAAACACCATGGCTTTTTAATAAGTAGCATGGCATCAAGTCAAAGCATTTCTCCCATTACTAGAAATTAGCACAGAATTCACATGGTATCTTAGGCTCTAGGTAAAAAGGAAGGCAGAAGATGGTCTTTTTTTCACTGAATTGAGCTCCTGGAGGCTGGATAATCAAGATATTCTATTGCTAGTAACAAAGATGGTTTTCTGAGGCCAAAGCACATCAAAAGGCCCAGTGAGTCCCTCAAATGTCAATTTTCTGAAGCTTACTGAATTTGAACTGCTCCTCATATTCCTGCTGCTTCCTGTCTTTCTGTTCCTGCAGCCGTTCATACAGAGACCGAGGGTCATACGCCTCCTCTGGACATTCTGAAAGGAAGACGGGATAAAGGAGACACAGAATTTAGGTTGTTTCATATTATTTTGGAATCACAAGAGTTGGAAAAATAGTTAAGTCTCTATACATCTGTGGGTGAAAATAATACAAAGTCTATAGTTTCCCTTTGCACCTCAGACAGAAAGGGGCAAGCGGTTTTCAAAGACAACTATTAATGTCACGTTGCTAACTGGATGAGCAGCCAGTTCAAACCTATTAGCAGCATTTCAGTTCAAACTGCCCCTCCACCTGCAAGCAAGCAAGTAGCAGAATGTCCTGGAAAGTGCTGTGGTGGCGGGAGGAGGGCAAATATGGAGTAGTGGTTTTGCTGTGGAGAATACACATAGCTTACTTCACCCTGTGAGGCTGGTTCCTGAACTCTAGTGAGGACAATTAGCACTTTCTAGGCAGGGTTTTGTGAAGACTAAAGAGGTAAATGAGGGGCTGGAGAATTGGTTCAGTGGTTAAGGGCACTGGCTGTTCTTCCAGAGGATCTGGGTTCAATTCCCAGCACCTACATGGCAGCTCAGAACTATCTATAACTCCAGTTCCAGAGCATCTGACACCCTCACACAGACACATATGCAGACAGAACATCAATAGATATAAGAACAAATTATTACAAAAAAAGGTTAAGTGAATGATGTCCAGCTCTAGGTCTATCTATATACCTTCTGGATCTTCTGGTTTTCGAACCCTCTCCCATTCTTCTTGCCTCTTTTTACGCCGCTCATCTAGTTCTGCCTCAGACACAAACCTCTTTTTGATGACAAGGTTACCATCATCCCCTCCATCCATGATGGAATAGTCTACATAAAAAGAAAAAAATCCAAAGGATAACTACAATTAAAATTCTTAGAGCAGGGTTATAAGGGATATAGATCGGTTGGTATGTTTGCCTAGCAGCACGAGGCCCCGGGTTCCATCCCCACCACCATGTGTCCGGGGCGTGATAGTGCACATCTATGCACCAGCACTTGAGACCTGGAGTCTATCCTGGCTCATCAGGCAGCACACGTCCATGCTATCCAGTCACTGAACGACTCTGGGATCATTCTGACGTGGTAGCATTTCCCTGTCGCAGCACTCTAGACAAGTAGGCCTCCTGGGCTCCACACCTGTTCTCAGCTCACATCCTGCTTCACAGCTGTAATATTTGCTACTGTATCTTCTTCCAGTTGCTATCTCAAGGGCACAACACTGCCTTGATTTACCTGTTCTTGCTTCCAAAGCAGATTCCAATGGAGACTCTCAGGTACTCAAGGCCCTTTAGCAGTCAAGTCCAGTCTGTAAAGCAGGGAGGTCGCAGAGCTAGGAAAAAGACACAAGTGTAAAGAGAGGAAGCAGAAGAGCCAGGTCGTCCTAACCTAAGCTCAGTGTTCTCCACAGTAAGCAGCTGCCACCATCTGTCCTGCCTGTCCTCCCTGTGAAGCAGTGGCCTTCCTTATTCCTACAGCCTGAAGCCCTTAATGCATATCCTGATGTAGAAGACATCAAACTTCCTTTCTGCTTTTTCTTCAACTCTTCAGAGAAGCATGGAGAAGGAAATAAAGATGGGAATGTCTTATTCCTCTCAAAAGTCAACATTTCAGAGCTGGGAATGTAGCTCAGTGCTTAGCTCACTTGCCTAGCATGTGCAAACCTTGGGTTGCTAGCTTTTTCAATTTTTTTCTGAAGAATTACAGTTAATCATCTACTCAGACATGTTTTGTGTTCGCTACAATATTACTACCTATCAAAGAAGCACAAACACAACATAACCCAATGTCTCTTCTAAGATAACCTTTGACAACCAATATAATAGTTCATTAGAAACTAGGTCTGGGGCTAAAGAGATGTCCCAGTGATTAAGAGCTCTGACTTCTCTCCAAGTTCAATTCCCAGTCCCTACATTTTGGTTTAAAACTTTAATTCTAGTCTCAGGGGATACAACACCTTCTTCTGGCTTTGGTGCACACATACTTCCTACCATATGTATGCCACAGACATACATATAAGCAAAACACCCATAAACATACATTTTTTTTAAAGTAAGTCTGCAGCTTCAAAAAGCAAAATTTAAAGCTCCTCACATGTGTTATATACTTTTTGCATGTTATCAAGTTTCTCTGCATACAGAGCCAATGAGAAAGACTCGTCACAGATGAAACTGACACCCAGGCTCAGTCATTGGCTCAAAGCATACAGGCAGCAAGCGGTGGAGTTAAGGATCAAGTCCAAGTCTGACATCTACATTTTCATATTCTCAGCTAGGTGTGGTGGCACATGACTGTAATCTCAACGCTCATGAAGACTGAGGCAGGAGGATCATAAGTTCAAGATAAGCCTAGAATACACAGCAAGTTCAAGGCCAGCCTGCACTATATAATGATACCTTGTCTCAAAAATCACATTTCTACCCAATCATCATATTCCTCCTCAGAAACCACAAACTCTCAGTTAAAACAAAGACATGGCTGGACATGGTAACCAATCCCTGGAATCCCAGCCATCAAAAAGTTAGGGTAGAAAAGTGGGCTAGAGGCCAATCTGCGCCACACAGTGAGACTTTTATTTCAAAACATTAAGAGTTGGTGTCTTACTTTTCTATTGTTGTGAAAACACAGCATGATTGAAGCAACTGATAGAAGAAAGTTTTTAATTTGGGGCTCAGGGTTCCAGAGGGTTAGAGCCCATTACCACCAGGGCAAGGAGTATGGCAACAGGCAGACAGGCATGGTGCTGAGGCACTGGTGAGAGATCTTACATCCTGATCCATAAACACAGGGCAGACAGCGAGGTAACTAGGAATGTAGAGAGGCTTTTAAACCTCGAAGCTCACTTTCAGTGGCACACCTCCTCCAACTAAGCCTCACCTCCTAATCCTTCCCAAACAGTACTACCAACTAAGGATCAAGGGTTCAAGTATATCAGCCTATAGAGTCCACTCTCATTCAAATCACCATGTTAAGAATGTAGTTAAGTGTAGGAGGCTCTGGGTTCATCCCTCAGCCTGGGGAGAGCCACACAAGAAAACAAGGGCATGTCAATTTCAGCTATATTTTCTATATCAAATTCCAATGCCCAGAATGCAATGTTTTTGTTTAGTAAAGAAAAAAAATGGAATCAGGGCATTAAATCCAAATATTCAAAATATAAGGAATCATCTCGGCCTGAATCCATCCTACTGCTGAGGTTTAGTTCCATGTGAAAAATGAGAATTGTGACAATTACTAGAATGAAAACTAAGTCACCTGAGAGAAGGCCCACAGTGCAGCTTCTCTGGATGTAGGGATGCAGCACCACTAGATGCCTGCAGCCAGATGCTCAGGACAGAAGCAGGATCACCTTGTCTCTGTGACTTTGCAAAATTCCTCGAGCTCTTTGGAGCAATTTCTTAGGAAACAAGAGCCAACAGCTTATGAAATGTCCCCAGCAGAGAATGTGAACCATGCAGTCACTGGGGGAAATGGGAGTCACGCTGGACCCTTGCTTTCCCCTTTCTACTGCTTGCTCCCTTCCCACCCTATATCCACTGCTACTTTCCTCTCCCTACTACTATTTTCTAGTAAGTAACTCCCAACAGGACAAGTCCTCACAGCTTCCTCCTGGCATCAGAATCCATCACACACACCAAAACCAGAATCAGCAAATCCTATTTTAGACCTTCAAGACGGGCCACTGCGCTCCCTTTCCAGTTGCCAGCTCCCTTTCCACCTTAACACTTCTTGCTCTGAAATTTCTGTTCCTATGAAATCCACACATATATTTCGATAACAAAAGGTGACTCTTTGCTAATATGACATCCCTTTAGTTATAGGAAGGTAACCCCTACTCTTTTTTTTTTTTTTTTTTTGGTTTTTCGAGATAGAGTTTCTCTGTGTAGTCCTGGCTGTCCTGGAACTCACTCTGTAGACCAGGCTGGCCTCGAACTCAGAAACCCACCTGCCTCTGCCTTCCAAGTGCTGGGATTAAAGGCGTGTGCCACCACTGCCCGGTGGTAACCCCTACTCTTAACTTGCTGCTTTTCAAAGGAAAATGTCCAGTATTTTAATCCTACAAGATGGAAATAAATGTGTTTCAAAGTAGTGGAACTTGCCTGGCTTGTTAGCACATGTATGCCTGTAATCCTAGCACAAGAGACAGATACAGAAGGATCAAGAGTTCAAGGACACTCTTGAACACCTGAGAAATATCTCAAAAAAGACCAGCATATGCCTCAAAGGGTAACCATGTGTCCTGTCAAGTCTAATGACCTGAGTTTAATTCCCAGAATCCATATGGTAGAAGGAAAAATGGACGCCTACATGCTGTCCTTTGGCACATTAAAAAAGTAGTGATGAATGAATAGTCAAATTCTGAGTATTCTGTATAATATTCATAATATTTCTTTTCCAAAAAATATTCAGGTCTTTCAAGAATTATAATCTTCTTTCAGTCAATAGCTACAGCCATATAGGTTGTGTACGGCAGCTCACGCCTGTAATCCCAGCACTAGAGAGGCTAATGCAGGAAGATTCTAAGTTCTAGGTCATCTTGAGCTATACAATGATTTTGTTTCAAAATAAATAATACTGCAAGACAAGCTAGCTTAACCTTACATATCTTTCAATATAAGACTGCTCAATTTCAACTAATCTACATCACATGCTTGCTTTCTGTTGTGCTCTCCTTAAGGTGGGCACAGGCAATGATAAAGACCAGGGCCTCTAACAGCAAAAGATTTAAGTTCAGAATTGGGCTCTGCCAGGATTAGAACTTGGTATGACACTGGCCTAGTCATTTAATTCTTCTGAGCCTTGACATCCTTATCCCCAGATCACACTCACCAAAGGTGACCAAGACAGCTCTGTTCAACATAAAGTCTTTGTGTGGGAAAACAAGACAATTCATGCAAAGCACTTGGCACAGTATTTGGCACATTTCAAAATGCTTTGAAAGGCTTTCCATTACCATATAGAACTATGTTAAGCTTTGAGCTGGGTGCAGTGGTTAAAAAAAAAAAAACAAACTGTGCACTCAAGGAATGGGAAGAAATCAGTCATAAACAAATATGACCTTTTAAGTGGGAAAGGGATCACATCAAACTGAGATGTTAGAAAACACATAAAACTTTAATGTACACATATATAATTCTCTCCACATGTAAGTAGGTAATTCTACTATTTATCCAACACTGGGCTAGACTTTATAAGTACACAAAAGAAGTAAGTACTCTTGTACTTAACCCAGATAACATGGTACATAATAAACCACTAAAGTGAATAGTACAGGTGGAATTAGATACTGCCGGACACACATACGGATGGACGGTCTCCCAGGCTCAAGACTTGGGCATGCACCTAAATTCCTTTTCCTTCTCTATACGTTTATATTCCACCTGTCACCTAGTTCTGCTATCTCTACCTCTTGATGATGTCTCCTTAATCTACCCTCTTCTTTTTGTGGGAAGTGGGCCCCTTCCTTTCTAATTCTTTTTTGGGCTCCATCTTGGATACTTTAAAAGTATTCCACAGGTAGTCTCTATTCTAGCCTCCATTCAGATCACTCTTCCCACTATCAATCTAATGGTTTTTCTAAAGGTAAACCTGCCTGTTACTGTCCTATATAAAGTGCCAATATCTTACACACACACACACACACACACACACACACACACACCAGCACAAACTAGAAGAAAAATCAAAATGTTAAATAGCACTGCCACAAATACCTCGTGTGTAAAATTACCTTGTGGTTGAAAGTCGCTTCTGTCAGAGTAAAGTCCATGTTCATTTGTGTGGTCCCATTAGCTGCCTCACCTCCCCCTGCCCCCATCTTCCCAATCTAACTTACAACAGACTCTCCACATGGTACTGGAAAGCCACACCACACATCTCACAACCCTGTCTGCCTCTCTGCAGGCTTTGTTGCCTCTACCTTGCCTCATTTTCAAACCTCATGTGAACTTCTCTGCTCAGACTCAGAATGAAGATCCCCCGCACCTCTCTAAGAAGCTTCCCATGTCCTTCTAGAGTAGCGGCTAAATAGTTCTTTCCTGTGTTCCTGTTATATACATTTGAAACTGCAGACAGCACTGATTAACTATGCTTTACCACTGCTGAATGTTCCAACAGCTCTTTACCCACACGCCCTGGAGCGTATGTCAGGTATATAATAAATATTTACTAAAGAAACTAACCACTAGGAGGAGCTAAAGAATAAAGTATATTCAATGAATATTTCCAAATATTGTCCATTGTTATGTTAGGCAACAGCAGTCATTACAAGGATTTACTGTAGTTTCAGTGTCACAAGGAATTCTTGTTCAAACATCAGTTAAGTTTGGGCAACAGGAAAAACAGAACCAAAATTGAAACAGCTTTCTTTGTTACACAACAAAAACCATCTTTCAAAAAGTAATTCTTGCTGGCTTCCTTTAAGTGGTTCTCAACCTATGTGACCCCATTTAACAAACTATCTCCAAAAATACTTACATTAGGATTTATAACAGTATCAAAATTAATTATGAAGTAGCAACAAAGATATTTTTATGGTTGAGGGGTCAACTACAACATGAGGAATTGAATTAGAGGCCCACAGCATTAGGAAGGTTGAAAATGGATGCAACTTGCTTTGGGCCCCTAGGAGATGGCTCAGTGAGTAGAACAGTTTTCTGTGTAAGCCTATCGACCTGAGTTTGATTCTAGGAATTCTGGTGGAAAGAAAACCAACTCCTGCAGTCTTTCTCTAACCTCCAACTGTATGCAGTAGGACCTGCACCCTTGCACTCATCTCTCCCTCCGTCTCTCTCTCTCTCTCTCTCTCTCTCTCTCTCTCTCTCTCTCACACACACACACACACACACACACACACACACACATTTAATTGACAACATGTAAAGTTTTGTTTTTTTAAGCTCCCCTTGAGAAGTGGACCTTTTTTTTTTTTCAGAGTCCACACTAGCCATTTATTCTGCAGAACAGAAGTGGCCCATACCCACCATGTACTGATCCTCTTCTGTACTAAAGAATTTAGGGATTTAGATTACATTGACTTTTAATTCCTATTTCTTAGCCAAATTTTCACACATCTGTCCTTTCCCCTTTTGTTCGCTATAATAAACAAAAATAAAATACCAGCAGACAAAAAGCTCAGGATTAGGGGGATCTAATTATCAAGATCAACATAGGACTGCGGGGGATTTATAGTGGAAGGTTTATTTTGTCCGTCCTGTGTTCAATTCTAGGAAGATTAAATAAACCAGGCACGGTGGCACACACCTTCAATACCAGCATGCACTCAGGAGGCAGAGCTTTCGGAAGGATCTGAGTTCTAGGTCAGCCCTGTCTGCATGATGAATTCTAGGATAGTCAAGGCTACAGTGAGACACTGTGAGGGGTGGAGGGAAGAAACAAACAGACTGACTGACTAAGGTCAGCTTTTCTTTCCTTACCAAGCTTTTGTTTTTCAAGGTAACTGAAAAATGAATTCAACTATGAAACCAAATACTGTTTTTCTTCCCCAGTGCTGATGGTCAAACCTAGAGTAGTAACTTGTAAGCTAGGCAAGTGCACTATTGTTGAACTACATACTCAGCTCAACATTTTTTTTAAAAAAAAGAAACATTCAACATTCTTCAATATGGATTTTGTAGAAAACAAAAAATCACACTGTTTAAACAAGTTTCAAGGATTGAAAAGTTTGAGGCCAACCTGGTTTATTATACAGTGAGACTTCTGTCTCCAAAAGGAGCCACAGTTTACAAATTTGTTTAACAGCCAAAAAACAAAGATCTTGGGCTTCAAGGCAGGGTAACTTGTTACACACTGCAGTACTGTTTCTCCTGGAGTCAGTATTTCCTTTCCAGGCTGGGATACAAAACAGGTGGTGTCTTATAGCATATTCTGCAAGTTCTAAAAGTGCACAACTTACAAAGTAATCATTATCCTGGAACTGAAAACTTAGTCCATGTAACTAGAGTCATGATGCAAATTATTGAGATCTTTTTTCCTACGGAGTTGAATTTTGTGATGGCAGACTAAGTTTACATCTGGCTGGCCACCATCCCCTTCTAAAATTAGACCCTACATGTAGAAATACACTCAAGGAATCATATTTCTGTGTTATAAGCTTTATTTAGGGTAGCAAAAATAAGCCAACCCATTTTCTTTTGTCAGTTGACTGTTTTCCAATATTTTCACCCTAATGTGTAAGTTTTCCTGTACCTCAAATACGAGTGAGATGGAGAGAGGATTCAGTGGTTGAGAGCATCTGCTGTGCAGTTTTGAGGACCAGTTTGGATCCCAGCATTCAAGTAACAAGCCACAAGTCAAGCACACTTCTGTAACCCAAGCTCTGACAGGGTGGAAACAAGAGGCTAGCTGTGACTTGCTGGCTTGAAACCAACCTGCAAAAATCTAAGTTCCAGGTTGAGAGGGGGCGTGGGGAAGAAGAAACAGAGACAGACAGAAAGACAGACAGAGACAGACTGACTCTGCCTCAAAGGAATAGACAAGAGAGTAACAGATGATATACCCAGCACCTTCTTATGCCCTTCATGTTCATGGATAGACAAGTATAAAGGTGCACGCACCGGTGCATTCATGCACCTACCCACTCACATACCTAGATTTGCTAGATAGTCCAATTAAACTGCAAGCCTCCCAAAAGACTACTTTCTGGTCAGAAGACACTGCTACCAAGCAATAATAATTTAAATCAGGTCAACTTTTCCTATGTCATAAAATTTCCTTAGAGAATGACAATTACTTAACAAAGAACTCTGTTAATACTTATTACTGGCTAAAGCAATCAGTAAGAGAAGTAACATTAATCTTCTAACACTGAAGCTTACTAATAATATACTACAGAAGCAGAAGAGATCTAATGAATCAATGAGATTACAACATAAGCATCTTAATCTATAGTTAAAGTTTGAGTTATAAAGAGTAGTTTGTAACAAATCTGAGGCGTCAAAGAAACGTGCAATTATATGTTATAAGTATTTAATGTGTTTATACACACACACACACACACACACACACACACACACACACACACACAATCTTTCCACAGCACACGGTGGCAATCTTTCCTTCTACCCATCTAATTCATCTTCTTACACTAAAGGAAGCAGGAACACGAACTCACACCCCTGCTCTTTTAGCTGGTGCTCGGCTCTCTACTTCACACTTCCCCTCTCAGAACAGACACAGCCCCTCACTGTGTATGAGTCTAATTTAGTTCTATCTGCTATGTGCTGAGACAAGTGAGAGCAAATTCACCTGGAACTCAGGGAAGAAATAAAAGCAGCAGGATCTTTTGGTTGTCAGCACCTCAAAACTGAGAAGAAGACACAAGAAAAAAATTAAAAATTTTCAGCATTAGTATTCAACATGATACCTCTCTGAGAAATACTCAAGGATAGCTTTGATTCTAAAGTATTTTGCCATATGGTTGCCTTCAGACCCAACCCACACACCAAATCCCATCCCATCTTCCAAACACCCATTCTTACATGGCTCAGCAGTACAATCAAACTGAAAAAGGAATTGGCCTGTGCGGTGCTACTACCAAAAGGTTAACCAAGGCAGCTTTTAAAAGTTGTTTTATGTTTTGTTTTGGGTTTTTGAGACAGAGTCTCACTATGTAACCTTGGTTTGACTGGAACTTGAAATATAGACCAGGCTGGCTTCAAACTCAGAGATTCCCCCTACCTCTGAATAGAGGCTCACCACTCCCCATTCGAGCCAGTTTGTTTGTTTGTTTGTTTGTTTTTTGGGTTTTGTTTTTGTTTTTAAAGGCAAATCTTTTCAAGACACAGTGCTAGCTAGGCACTAAATAAGCCTACAGCCAATGCAGCAATGTAATGTGGCACACAAGCAATTTAAAGAAAAGTAGGACACAGTTATTGCTACAGGAGTTGAAACTGAGCTTTAAGCCCTGCCTCCTTTTTTCTGGGTTTTGTGTAGCCCTGGCTATCCTAAAACTCTGTAGACCAAGCTGGCCTCAAACTCAGAGACCCACCTGCTTCTGCTTCCAGAGCGCTGGAATTGAAGGTGGATGTTACCAAGGCCAGCTTAAGCACTAAGTTCTTTTAGGCAGACTAGAATAAGACATCAGGGAAGCCTAATTTTTATAGCTGCTGTGACACTGAATGGTAAAAATACTAGAAATTCTATGTAGAAATATCATCTTTCACTTAAGACTACAGGCAATCACACATTTCACATTTTAGTATCAGAATCAAGGAGTGAGAGGCTTTTGCCTGTGGAGAAAATGAACTGAATATTGAAACTGTCTACGGCTATGCTTAAACAGCTAGAAACGTTGCAGCAGCAGCAGCAGTAATAAATAATAGCCGAAAGATGGGTCAATGGATAAAATGTTTGCCAAATAAGCAGGAAAATCTCAGTTTGACGCTCCAGACCCCACATAAGTGCGGAATACTTCAGGTCATGCCTAGACTACCAGTGTTCCTTCCTGGAGATAGGAGGCAGAAGACAGGAAAACCCCCAGAAACTCGTGGGCCAGTTAGCCAGACATATGTAGTGGTAAACAACCAAAGACTGTTTCAAACAAGGTGGAAGTCAAGGTCCGGAGAGATGGCTCAGCAGTTAAGAGAGCTTGCTGCATTTCCAGAGGACCTCTTATGGCTTCCTCATGCACCTGTACACACACACACACACACACACAAATCTAAAATATTAAAAGGAAACAAAAGGTAAGAGGACCAACACCTGAAGTTGCCCTCTGATACCACATGTAAATCTGCATGTACACTCATACAAATCTGTACATTCACATATCAAAGGCATCACATACAAAAGGAACTAAAGAATAACTGTTAAACCAAAAAGCCAAAAAGATGGTGGAAACTTTGGATAAAATCTAGAAGGTGACAACCAGAAATTAAGCCAATGATTCAAGTAGATTATTTTATCCTGAGGACTCCTCTGGCCTGAACAATTCACTCTAGCAGTACTATGACGAAGCAACAGAAAAAATCAAGGCAGCCCACAGGGTGTGCAGATAACCCTTCCCCCCCCCCCATAGTAAATTGGTACCCAAGAATTACACCTTGAAAGGGAAAGGAGGTAAGAGAGAAAACTGTGGGAATAATGGACAAGAAAAACAGATCCATGGGAATTAAATACATGGATCACACAACAAATATACTTAAGATGTTTAAATAAAAATCAAGCCTTAAAATTAACGGCAAAAAATATGAAACTTTTTTAAAAGTGATAAAAGTAAACAAAAACTTCAGGAACTAAACCTGCAATAATTGAATTTAAGATGCTAGTGTTTAAGAGGGGACATGGTGTCACACACTTTTATTCTCAGCACTGGGGAGGCAGAGGCAGAGGCAGGCGGATCTCTGAGTTCCAGGACAGCCTGGTTTATATAGTCAGTTTTAAAAAGAGCTAGGGCTAAATAGAGAGATCCTGTCTCAAAAGACAAACAAAAAACCCCAAAAGATAACTGTTTAATAACAAAGTTGGTATAGAAGAGAATTTATGAAGAAACTGCCCAGTCTGGAAAGAGGCAGAGGCAGAAAATCTTGAGTTCTAGGCCACCTTGGACTGCAGAGTAAGACTCTGACAACAACAACAAAAAAAGCAAGCAAACAAACAAAAACAGCTCCTGGAGACAGAGTGACAATGTGTGTGGAAGGCAGTCAAATGTATCAATATATATGTGACTATTAATATTGCCAAATGTAGCATATACCTGTAATTTCGACACCTGAGAGAAAAAACAAAACAGGAGCTTAAGGTTATTTTTCCATACACTCCACAAACAAGGCCAGACTGTCTACAAGAGACTGAAACCGACAACCAAAAAAGTCAAATACCAAGATAATTGAAAGAAAAAAAAACCAACTCATGGTTTGAAGCATCATGATTGAAACTGCAAATCAAAGGTGAAACACTTAAAAGCACTTCTAGGGGGGAAGCTGATCGAGTTCAAGAATGAAGACATGTCAAAAAGGTGAACACATTAAAACTGATTAATCCTGCTGCTCTAAAGGCAAATTACACTATATCCAAGCTTACAGTTGAATCATGCTGTTCAATTACTTCATGGTCAAAATATGGGTGGCTTTCAATTTCTGAAGCTGAAGACTGCCTCTAAGCAAACGTTGATGACAATGAAGGATGAAACTAGGTAAATGGTCTTCACATAATTCTTCCTTTTTAAAAATCAGAAAGAATTTCCTCTTAGAGGCAATAAGACTTCAACTTCAAAGATAATTGGGACATCCAACTTCCAGAGCCTTACACTGTATTCATAGCGCATCTTAGGCTCCCAATGAAACATATGAGCTACCTTTATTTCAACTCAGTTCCTTCTGTCATAGAAAGCTCTACAAATTCCTTTCAAATATTTCAGAAGCAGTATCCTCCAAAACATTTTGCTTGTTAGTTTATTCTTTGATATCTGGTAGTCTTGCTATGGAAGCCAGGTCTGTCTCCAACTGGCACCCCTCCACACTCACCCATACACACACACCCAGCCTCAGTGGTCCTTAGGATTACAGGTATAAGCCACTACACTGCGCTCCTCCATACCATTTTATGTCTCTGGGGACACACGAATAACTCAATTAACTTAACCAACGAAACTTGCCTCACAGGTTGACACGGAAGAAGTCGCTGTAAATCCTAAACAAGTTCATATTAGACGTTGTGGGTTCCACTCTAGACTTAAACAATCAGACTACCTGAGGGGTGCAGCACAAGGTTTGCATTTTAAAACCAAGGGCCACAGCTCTTGTGTTCCTCCAAGGAGAACTTAACAATTCCCCCCTTTCCCTCTGCATGGATTGGCATTCCAAGGGCACCAACTCTCAAATGAGACACTTCAACTACCGGTCGTGTTCTAATAATATAGGTACACTGCCTTGTTTCCTATTAGAAGAGAATGAGCGAGGCACTACAACTGGGAAATTTGTTATGTACCTATCCTGTAACTACGCTCCGGGATTCAACGATTCTCAATCTAGCATTCCACGTTTTCTAAGGAGCGAGGAGCTGTTCCGAGTGGAACAGAGGCAGCAGGTCACTTCAGGCCTGATGGCTCCAGCTAACAGAAAAGTGCTGAAAGAAGACAAGAGGCCCGGCTGTTCTGGCGCGTAAGAAACAGTCGGAACCTCCCACCACCACCAACACGTCGTCCCGCAGACTCTCGCGGCTCCGCTCGGGGTGGGTACCGCAAACTCCCAAGGCAGGCGAAACAGGACACTGAGCACTAGAAAAGATCGCGGACTGAAAACAAACCTGGGCCCTAATCCTAACTCTGGCTGTAGTTCACCTTCTCCTCGGCTGAGAAGCTTGGTTTCTCCTCCCGGCGCGGACCCAGGCCGCACTCACCTACCAGAGCGCGGGAGGCGAGCCTCCCTCACCTCCGCAGCGCTTAACGCAAACCGTCGCCGCCAAGGCCACTCGCTCTTAAAAAACTAGAAAAGAAACCGAGAAAGAACAACGGCTCACAGGAAGCAAACACACTTTGCTTTTGTATTCCTTTTGACCCTTCGGGGCTTCCTGTTTCTTACAGCCACAACACATTTCCACCCCGCTTCCGGCGGCATAGTCCAATCAACAGCTCCCTCCCTCCTGGAGCGCCTCGTGGAAATCCGGTGCTCCAAGACCGTATGGAGAGATCTGATTGGGCCGTTCACCCTTCGGCAAGGGGATTAGCCGGTTCACTCCAGGGTGGCGGGACGAACCGCGGAATCACGTGACACAAGCCTTGATCGATGATTGGTTGTCTGAGAGAGAGGGTTTGCCACCGAGGAAGGGGCGTTTCCTAGGGGACTGAGGGAGGGCCCGGGCGGTGCGAAGCGGGGGTGGGCCCTGCGCGTAATGGCAGTGCCGTGTCCTCGCGTCCATCTTTACCGCTCTCTTGGACCTGTCACAAAGGAGTCGCGCCGCTGTCGCTGTCCCCTCCCTCCGGTGGGCCTAGGAGCTGGTGGAAGTCAGTGCCACTGCCCGACTGCGCTGCTCTGGGAAGCCCTTTGGGGACGTGGCCGGGGAGGGAGCTTGAGGGCTAGCGACGCCTGTGAGGGAAGGGAACTGCCGCTGGAACCTGGGTCGGAGAGACTGAACTGGGGCCGTGGCTGTCTCCAGGCAGGGGTCTTGGAGAGGGTGGCGTTGGTCAGAGCCTGGGAAGCAGCCGGAACGCTCTCCTCCGAGGCCCGCGCTGGAGGCGCCTGAAAGCGGTTCCTGGAAGAGGGTGTTCCCCTTTAGGGGATCTTGACTGAAGGAGGTCCTGGGGTCACCCTCCCGAGGAGACTGCGGCTAAGGTGAGAAGCAGGTACCCCCTGAGCAGGCTCCTGACGCGGAGGGACGCTCGTTCGGGCTCCTCGGAACCGAAGGGGTCGAGGGGCGCACGTCGTGGGCAGGGATTCCTTTTGGGGAGTTTGCCTTTCAGTGGGAAGCAGACTTCCCCTGGGATGGTCTGGTGGTGCCTTGGGGTGGAGAGTCCTACGTGGAGAGGGGCTGTGGAGAGGTCTTCGCCTTAGAGAGAGGCTGGAGGCGGGAGCCAGACCTAGCGGATTCTTCTACTCTGAAGGCCTGAGCTAAATACTTAGTAGAAACCCTTGGGGAGGGCAGCTTTCTGGTCAGTCCTTCCCATTGGGAAGCCCGAGTTCGGGATAGTCAGTGGGTTCTTCCCTCACTCTGGAGTCTGACCAGGTGTCCCAGAGTAAGGATTCTGCTGCCTCTGGCCTTTGCGCCAGAGTGGGACACGGGAGTCATCCTAGCAGCAGCACCCCCTGCGAGCTTCCAAATTCGGCATTACTTCTTGCCTGCTGTCTGCCTCACTTTCTCTGTTCTTACAGAAGGAGACCTAGTTAGAGCTGCTGGGCGGAAACACTTAAGATTCTGTCTTGTGTAGATGTCTGAGTGAGGTATTGTCCCCTGGAGTGATGTACTTTGAACTTTTTAAAGTTGGCAGTGTCTGTTACTGCCTGAGTAGAGCCGTGCAGTCTTCCAGGCTCCTCACTTACCCATCTGCTTGTCTTTCCTTAGTTGAAGTGACTTGAATCTTAGAGTTTCTTCTGTAAAATAATCAACGCTATGTGTGAAAAGTAGTGTAATGGATTGCTGTTGAGAAATAAAGTATTTTCTAATCTGTAAAATTGTTGATGTAAGAGATTAGCATAAATACAGGTGTTGATTACCTATAGAGCTCTGAGAACCATATATTACTGAGTGAAATGTTAGTCTATAAACCCTGCCTACTTCCTTGACATGAAGAAGTTTCCAGTTTACTTTCCGCTTCTAGTAGTGCTGGTAGGAGTTAGCACTTCCTGCGGGAAGTTTTTCTTTTAAGTAATTTGTTCTCAATATTGTAGGCTCACTTTTTCTTGTATGTATTCCTTGGCCTTTGAATGGCTACAGTTAGTGAAGACTAGGCAGCATCCCTCAATTGTAATTTGTAAATGAGTCTAGTTTTTTTTTCCTTTCCATGAATTCTGCTTTGTGGTACCTCCAGAGTATAGCTTACAAAGCACATTTCAGTTTTCATTTTATGTAGAGTTTGCATTTCTTGGGATGATAACTTGCTGTGTAGATCCCTGTTATTACAAGGCTACAATAAAATAATAACCTCTGTCAGTATGTGACACTTAAATAACTTTTGTTTAGTGGCACTTGTTAGAGCTGCATTGGTAGGTAGAACTGATGTCCCAAAATTTTAGGAATTCCCTTGTGTTTTTTTGAAGTAGGGTTTTGGTTGTTGTCTTTTTAAAGTCGGCTTATTTTTTAAAAAGTTGACCTGAGTTTCCTGTTTTTTTAATCTTATGTTTCCTGATTGTTTGTTGGCCTTTTGTTTTATTTTCTATGGTGGTTTTGTGAGCTTCTTGATTTCCCAGGATACATGGTTCCCAGGGCTTCTGCTTAATATCTTTGTAAGTTCTGATTTTTGCTGTTTTTATAGGCCCTTCATTTTTCCTAGATTCAATACTTTTAAGCTATTGATTATAAAAAGTATTCCAGCATGGTCTATGTAGACTTTTTATGCTTTGTCAGCAAAATAACTTCTTTTAGTAACTATTAAGGGGAACTTTATACTTACAAATGCTTAGCATTGTATATAATAATGTGTTGTTTTTCTGTATTGAATAGGGGAGAAACAACTCTCTCAGTTCTGAAGTAAGGATAGCAAGTTTAGTAACAGAAACTGTGTTTCTGAAGTAAATTTACAACAATCTGTTTAAACTGTTTAACTCACAAGTTTAAATTAGTATTCAGGGATTATATAATATTTTCCCTAATAATGAAATAATCTCTCTTCCTAAGCACACCTGAAACCTGTGGTCCTCTTGCCTCAGCCTCCTAAATGGTAGGGTTGTAGGTGTGTACTATACCCAGGGTTTTGTTTATTTGTTTTTGTTTCTTGAGACAAAATCTTCTTATATAACCCTGGCAGACCTGGAATTCAGATAACCTGCCTCTTCCTCCAAAGTGCTGGAATTAAAGGTGTGTTCCACTATGTCCAGTGAAGTAGATTTTATGATTGAGAATCACCTTGATGGCTTTAGAATACAACTTTTTTTTTATATACTCTAAAATCTGTGTAGCTTAGAAAATTATTAGGAATTCTATAAAATCTTTTCTGCAAAGCAAATTTTAAAAGGATTTTATTTTTAATATTGTAATTATGCATATGTAGGAAGGGGACTATGACACATGTGTGCAGATGCCTTCTGAAGCTAGAGGTAGTGATTCTCTGGAGGTGGTGTTTTAGGGGGTTGTGAGCCTATTAGTGCTAGGAACAGAATTTGGGTGCTCTTAACCACCGAGCCATCTCTGCAGCCCTATTAGGAATTCTTGTAGATGGTGATCTCCATTACAAAACACTTAATGGACTTTTTCTGTATTTTAGGATCAGATCCTTGTAAAGTAAAATGTAAAAATGTAATATTCGTCGTGGGCCCTAAGTGTAAAGGGGGAAGTTAGCAGGCACAATTGACCAACTGAACCAGTAATCAATTTCAGCTTTTTTTTTTTTCATCAATTTCAGCTTTTTTTTTTTCTTCAAGCTTTCAGCTTTTTTTTTTTTTTAAGGCATCTGCCATTGAGTTGGATTTTTTTTTTCTGGTATTTAAATTTAAAAATTGAAAAACAGGATGGTCAGGAAGTATTGAATGCCAAAACCTGGGCCACAGCCCTTAGGAAACTTTTATAACTTTTAGTAGGATAAAAGAATGAATATTTTTCTCCTGGAGTTGGAGTTACAGGCATTGGTGAGCTGCTCACCATGGATGCTGGGTCCTCTACAAGAGCAGGGTGCACTCTACCACTGACCCACCTCTCCAAATTGCTTACCTGCCTTTTTTATCTGAGGTTTTGAAAACTAGAAAATATTTAAATAGCAAGAAATTGATGTACTCCTAGAATCTGGTAAGGAATTACCTCTGCATGCAGCTCTCTTACTGCTTGAAATTACAGTATCCAGACATAATTTCATGGGTCCTATACACTTCAATTAAAAAGTCTGAAATTTCTTCCTCAGCAAGTGTATTATCACTCTGTAGTTTATGTTTCAGAGCTGGTTTTTTCTTACTTCTACCTCCTAAAGAATTAAGTTTCCTTTCCTTTGTTCACTGAATGCAGTATTCTCAGACTGTGAGTCTTACTCCACCCTCCTCATGGGAAACACAGCTCCTTTATTTACTTCTTATTGCTCCATCATTGTTCATAGTTACAGATGCTGATATACTACATATTAATAACTTTCCAAGTTAATTTTAAGGCTTAATAAAATACTGTATTTGTTGCTTCAGACTGAAACAATTAGGATTTACTGCAGTTGGACAGGGGAGATGATAAGTAGACGTATTTGCTCGTAGACGCCTGAGGATCTGAGTTCAAATCCCCATAACCCATATAAAACCATGAGCATTGGGGTGAATCTGTAACCCAGTGCTCTCACAGGGTGTTGGGAGGCAAAATTGGTAGGGTCTCCAGAAGTTGGCTCACCTGATGTACAGAGAAAGACTGCTTCAAACAAGATAGGAGGCAAGGACCAATGTTTAAGATTATGCTGGCCTTCATACATATTCTGTGGCACATATGCCTATAATCACATATGAATATGAACAATCATAGATTTTGTTTTTTAACAAAAAAATTTATTGTAGTCTCTAGTATCCTCAAGTGGTCTGTCCTGAGACACTCGGCAGAAATGCAAAACTTGTCACCTATCAGGTACAGAGTATGGATTCCTGCAGGACTCAGAAAGGGTTTAATTTGGGGCAGGGGGTACAACATCCATATTGCCTCAAAATAATCTGGTTTTCCATTGTGATTTCTGGTCTTTGTCGTTTTCATTACACTTACTGTTTAGCCATAGCTTTATCAGTTTAATTTTTAAACTTTCTGTTAACCTTTCACTGTGATTTTTTGTTTTGTTTTGTTTCTTTGTTTTTTGAGACAGTTTCTCTATGTAGTCCTGTAAATCCATGTAGACTTACTGTAAACCAGGCTGGGCCTCTAACTCACAGAGATCCACCTGCCTCTGTCTCCTGGGTGCTG